GGGGCTGGTATGGCTGGACTCGCAGCCGCTCGCACTCTTCGCGATGCGTCATTTCAGGTTTGCAGCGACAGCTTCGGATCTTTTTAAACTATTCATTCTGCAAAATCTTTTTGTTAAAGACTCTGTTTGGTTGAGGCTCTGGTTAATTAATGCGTTAGAGACGGACCCACAACCTGTTTCGGAAAAAACTTTTATCGAGTATTCTAACCGCTGTTTTTTCTCAGCTCTTTGGTTAAGTGCTAAAGGCCTGCATAACCATGTAATAAGTAAGCTCATTTTATACTTGATGATGTGCCCATAGTAACTTAAAGTTATACCTTTTTTGGCTAGACTTATCTCTTCGTAGCTTCCATGCCCAAACCAGTCAAGCTGACGCCACTTATGCCCTTTTCTTGATTTTTTACTACGTCGACTGCACAAAAACAAGCTTTTATTGTTATTTTCCGGGACCGAAACTTGTTTTCGTATACGTTCATTGCTATTCTTTTGATACGATGTGCGCTTACCATATTCTTTAATGTAACCTTTGTTTGCTCGTCAGGTACTTCTGCTGGAATCTCGGGATAGAATTGGCGGTCGGGTTTGTACTGATTACTCATTTGGTTTTCCAGTTGACCTGGGGGCGTCATGGTTAACTCTCTATCTTTATCCTCTCATTTTTCCCGAGAAAAGTGAAAGCTTTTTAGCCTTTTGCTTTTTTTTTTTGTTTTTTTTTTCTTAAAGAGTATTGTAAGTAAAAGCACAATGTCGATATATCAGGTTGCATGGCGTCAGCAAAGAGAATCCTTTGGCACCGTTGATTGGAAGACTAGGACTGCCCCTGTATCGTACTAGCGGTGATAACTCCGTGTTGTATGACCATGATTTGGAAAGGCAAGCAAATCATTTCCTTCTTGCTCTTAACTGTCTAGATATGTGTTGGCGATAAACATCCGTCTTGAAATAGGGTCTTAAGCAATGTCAAAGTGAAATTTGCTCTTTACATCAGAACTTGGTGCTACGTACCCCATTTCATATATATGCCACTGTTACATAGTAAATGATCTTGCT